CATGCAAATAATAATAATAATAATAATAATAATAATAATAATAATAATAGGAATATGACCCTGGCCTAATGATCACTTACTAGAGTAAAAGGACACTAATTTTCAAATGACTTTCTTTATTATTAAATTGTTCATATTATTTCATATTTCATTGGTTATTAAGATATCAGTCATGATGTTGTATTCACTGTTAGATGTAGTATATCTGTATGCATGTCAGGTGATTTAGACGTTGTCAGTTTTAATGCTGTCACTTGCTAGCCTCGTATTTTTGCTTGAGACACTTAGCTTACTTAGCCTCTATTTCCAATTTTCAAAAAGAGGAAATAAGAGACTCCTCTCACTGGAATTTTTGCAAGAATTAAATGAAGTATAAAATATTTCCCAAATGAAAAACAGGGCGCTCTGAGGGAACAAATACGTGGTTTAAAGCAAGAAGCTATACAAATATCCAGTATCTAGATGATATTTTAAGTTTTAGTTTTATTTATGTGTATGTATACATTTCTGTGTGAGTATATGCTACATGCATTCAGGTGTTCCAGGAGATCAAAAAAGGGCATTAGATTCCCTGGAGCTAGAGTTAAGGCAGTTGTAAGCTACCCAATATGGGTATTAAAAATTAGCAGGGTGGTGGTAGTGGTGGTGGTGGTGGTGGCGGCGGCGGCGGCGGCGGCGGCGGCAGCGGCGGCGGCGGCGGACGCCTTTAATCCCAGCACTCGGGAGGCAGAGGCAGGCAGATCTCCGTGAGTTCGAGGCCAGCATGGTCTACAAAGTGAGTTCCAGGAAAGGTGCAAAACTACACAGAGAAACCCTATCTCAGGAGAAAAAAAAATTAACTACTGAGCCATGTCTCCTATTCTGATGAATTTTCAAAGTACTGCACAAAGGCAAATTATTATTGACATTGAAATCATATAAATAACTATAACAAAACCCATATATATTACAGTTTCTGCTTCAAACTATATTATCATATAAATATATGTTTAGGATAAGAATTTTGATTTTTCAGATATAAATTAAGAGGTAAAATTTTATGATAGTATATTTCAACTTGATAATTATAAAGCACTTGATATTCAGGAAAATAACCCTAAGTATCACAGGACTTTGGAACTTCCCAGAAACAGTTAAATTACATTTTCTTCATTCATAAATGAGTGCCTTTTATACATCATGCCTTGCACTCAGTTCTGTCATGACAGAGCATGAACTATAATCAATGCAACTTAATTTTCAGTTGTTTTAGTGTATTCTAATCCATTGAAAGTACAAGTAATGGGAATATTTAATAACTCAGTGCAGTCCATTCATAAAACAAGAGTAAATTTATTGCATTAATGTTATATTTTTACAGCTTAGCTCATTTTTATTGTTATATATGAGTATAACAACAGACTAGATAATTTATGAAGGATAACGGTTTATTTAGCTCATGGTTCTATGGTCTAAAATGTCCACAATAATTTTACTGGCATTTGACAAGGGCTTTCTTTCTCAGTGAGTCACAATGTGGCAGAGCGCACCACATGAAAAGGTAAATCAAACTCATCAGAAAAGAAATAATCTCTCTGGTAATAAACTAACTCATTCATGAAGGCAAAGTACTCATGACATAATTATCTCCTAGGGGCCCTATCTACAAACACCACTATCCTCTGAATTTAAAAATTAAATTCTTAACAATTGAAATTTGGGGGAGATATTAAAACCACAGCGATAGCTCAGAGTGATTAAAACTCTACTTATTTTGACACCTTTTAAGGGACTATTACCCAAATAATGGCCACTATTACACAAACTGGCCTATTTAGAATCTAATGACCTGGGCTGAAGACATGTCTTAGCAGTTAAAAGTGTGTTTTGCAATCATGGAGACTGGAGTTGAGATCCCAGCACCCATGCCTTCATCTCCAGCTCTGAGAAGAGGTGGATACAAGAGAACTTCTCTGGCTTACTAATTTCCAGAAGAAAAAAGGAAAAAACAAGCCACAGGTTAAGGAAGAGACCTTGCCCCAAAGGAGTACATGAAGAGCTATCAATACAGGACGATACCTAAACCCTTTCCTGGCCTTTACAAACACACACACACACACACACACACACACACACACACACACACACACACACACACACTTGAATAAAAAAAACAAATAAATTTTTTTCTTTATAATTTTTTATATATATTTTATTTTACAATACCATTCAGTTCTACATATCAGCCATGGGTTCCCCTATTCTCCCCCCTCCCACACCCTCCCCATACGCCCAGCCTACCCTCCATTCCCACCTCTTCCAGGACAAGTCCTCCCCCGAGGATTGCAATCAACCTGGTAGACTCAGTCCAGGGAGGTCCAGTCCCCTCCCAGACTGAGCCAAGTGTCCCTGCATAAGCTCCAGGTTTCAAACAGCCAACTCATGCAATGAGCACAGGACTTGGTCCCACTGCCTAATTGCCTCCCAAACTGATCAAGCCAATCAACTGTCTCACCTATTCAGAGGGCCTGATCCAGCTGGGGGCCCCTCAGCCTTTGGTTCATAGTTCATGTGTTTCCATTCATTTGGCTATTTTTTTTCAATAATTGAGTAAAACTGAAATTTATTATAAGCCACAGTCATCCTAGGGACCTCCATGCTATATATATAGCCTCTATGGTTCTATGGGTTGTGGTCTGATTGTTCTTTATTTTATATCTAGAATCCACCTATGAGTGAGTACATACCATAACTGTCTTTCTGGGTTTGGGTTACCTCACTCAGGATGATTTTTTCTAGTTCCATCCATTTGCCTGCAAATTTCATGCTTTCATTGTTTTTCTCTGCTGAGTAGTACTCCATTGTGTATATGTACCAAATTTTTTTCATCCATTCTTCCGTTGATGGGCATCTAGGTTGTTTCCAGGTTCTGGCTATTACAAATAGTGCTGCTATGAACATAGCTGAGCATGTATCTTTATGTATGAATCAGCATTCCTTGGGTATATGCCCAAGAGTGGGATGGCTGGGTCTTGAGGTAGTTCGATTCCTAATTTTCTGAGAAACCGCCATACTGATTTCCACAGTGGTTGTACAAGTTTACATTCCCACCAACAGTAGAGGAGTGTTCCCTTTGCTCCACATCCTCTCCAACATTGGTTGTCATTGGTGTTTTTGATCGTAGCCATTCTAACAGGTGTAAGGTGTTATCTCAGAGTCGTTTTGATTTGCATTTCTCTGATGATTAAGGATGTTGAGCATTTCTTTAAATGTCTCTCAGCCATTTGTAGTTCTTGTTTTGTGAATTTTCTGTTTAGCTCTTTAGCCCATTTTTTAATTGGACTGTTCAGTACTTTGATGTCTAGTTTCTTGAGTTCTTTATATATTGTGGAGATCAATCCTCTGTCAGATGTGGGGTTGGTGAAGATCTTTTCCCAATCTGTTGGCTGTCTTTTTGTCTTATTGATTTTGTCTTTTTTCCTGCAAAAGCTTCTCAGTTTCGAGAGGTCCCATTTATTAATTGACAAACAAATAAATTTAACAACCTATTTTGACTTAAAATGTTAATATGATTTTTGTATGGCATGCTTAATTTTTTAATAGAGATTGGAATTATTTAACATAAGATTATATTTATAACTTAATATTTATTATACAGCAAAAATACAGTTGGGGACGCTGACAAAACATATACATGGGAAAAACTGAAGAAATCAGGTACAATCACCCTTAATCCTAAATCTGAAGAATCACATGGGTACATTTTAGTCAACCACAAAGACAAGCAAAATATCTCCACAAGTCCATCTGTATCTTCAGTCCAAAGTTGTTTTTAGGTTGGCTTCGGGGGAGAGGGAGCTGGGAGAGTAGAAAAGGAACATATGTATGTATATGACATACACTCATGTGTGTATCCATGCTGGTACATGTGTGTGTAGTTTCATATCTGCAGATGAGCCGACATGTATGTATATGTGTGTGGACACCAAAAAGGTTGACATCAAAGGTCTTCCTACACTACTGTACATTTACTTACTGAAGCAAAGTCTCTGATTAAACTTAGAGCTAACCAAATCAGCTTGTCTAGCTAGCCAGGCTGCCCAGGGAACCTCCTGTCTCTATTTGCTGAGCACTGGGATTATAACCAGGCCATCATACTTGCCTGGCTTTTGTGTAAGTGCTGGAGATCTGAACTTCAGTCCTTGTGCTTTCACAAGAAGAACTTTATTCCCTTCAGCCACCTTCCCCGTCTGTTTACATAATTCTTAGATGGGATTGGACATATAACTACATGAACACCTGTGGCTCATAGTCTAGTTTAGACAGTAGGTACATATAAAAAAAATCATTGTGTTTCCATTAAATGTTTAAAATATCTACCCATGGTCTTGTGCACTTCCCTATTTTATTCATACTTGAATATCCATACTCCCTCAGAGGTACAAAATACATCGTTGATCAGTAACTATATACACATTCCAGGAGATAAATTGTTAGTTGTTGCTCTGACCTTGAAATTCAGCAAATACAAACAAGTACTTAGTGAAAATAGCTGCACTGACACCGACTTTCAATATGGAATAAGAGCTTCAAGGTCTTATATTTCCCAAATCACACCTCAGTGACACAGGCAGAAGACAAGTTGGACTTTGAATGACTGAAACTCAGGCTCTTTTGTTACACAGAGCATCTTCTTTTGGGCCGAGCAGAGGAGACCAAAGTCAGAAGACTCAACTGTCCATATGATCAGTTACATTTTCTGCCCTTGCCCACTCCTGAAATAACACACTGACCAATGTATCTCTTCATGTCTTGTGATGATTTGCAGGGCTCACACGGTGGAAAGTACTGTCTTCCAGAACTCTAACTACCCCGGGTCTTAAAATAAATACTTTCACAGTGATATTCCCTGCTTCCTTTATTTGTATTTACTCCTCTATAAGATCTTAGATTTCTTCATTTGGGTTATAATTGTTAAAAAATAAAATGACTACAATTTCCTTTTTTTATATGGCATTTAGGGAGAAATTGGTAAGGAAATGTACATCATCAAGCATGGAGAAGTCCAAGTTCTTGGAGGCCATGATGGTGCTCAAGTTCTGGTTACTCTAAAAGCTGGAGCAGTATTTGGAGAAGTCAGGTATCTGAGAGACACCTTGTAAATATCTAAGCCCATCATTTGTCATAAAAGGACTTAGGTTACAAAATAAACTTTCTACTCAAGTTTATCAAATGTCTGATATTCTGCTGAAAGCATTGGAAAAATGAGGATGTTCACATTTCTTTCACTTTTTAACCCTTCTCTCAAAAGAACAGAAGAAAGCAGGTTATGCTCTTCAGTACTAGAACCTAGGCCAGTGCCTGGCTTGCAAATGATGCTCAATGGATGTTGAATTAACATGCACATTAGTGAATGAATAGAGAGTGGGAGAGTTCACTGTTAGAAGACTTTTGTTAGGCCAACAAAGGGGCTTTGAGTAGGTTAGTAATGTGATCATGAATGTGGGACCAAGCTGCCATAGTCAAAAGCCCACTTGATTCACCTGTTGACTTTGTTCCTTACGTAACCCTCCTCTTCTTCAGTTCCTTCATCTTAATATCTAGAGTTACAATAGTGTATACAGCAAAAGTTGGTAAATTAGGTTAATTTGTTTAAAATATTCTGAGTCTCTCATCTAATTTTTACTCAATAAGTATTAGCTAGTGTTACCATTGTTTCCTATTGGCCAGGAGAATGTAAGTATAGAACAGAGTAGAATGAATAGGGAAATTCCCAAGAGCAAGAATATAAACAGCAAATTTAGACATGAGATGAGCTAACATTTCCATGCATTGTTGCATTTAAATTTGTTTATTATTCATCCAAAATGTATTCATGAGCCAGGCAGTGGTGGTGCATGCCTTTAATCCAGAGCCACACAGATCTCTGTGAGTTCAAGGCCAGCCTGGTCCACAGAGCGAGATCCAGGAAAGGGGCCAAAACTACACAGAGAAACCCTGTCTCGAAAAAAACAAAACAAAAAAAAATGTATTCACTAAGTGCCTAGCACATGCTAGATTGTGAAACATCACTCAAAACTCAGGGAATGCACTTTAAGAAGAATAGACAAATTGTGGTCCTTTATTAAGGTAGGAAGAAACTGAGAATAGTTATATAATTAACTAATAGGGCAAATTCACACTGAAATATGTTATGAATGTAGAAGATTGTAAGAAACTGATAAGGGAGTCGACTGTAGATCAAGTAGTTGAGGATGGACACTCAATATAAAATATTTGCCCTGGGCTTTGAGGCAGTAAATAAATATGGAGCCATTTAGAAATAGGCAAGAGCCCAAACATAGAACAATCTAATCTGGTCTATGGACAGGTAAATCATCGCAGCAGGTAAACAATGAACAAGGAAAGACATCTTGGCAAGTTGAGACCAAAGGTTGAACAAGGGCTAGGTTATTGAAGGCCTTTTAGACCATGGTAACAAATTTATGTTTTATTCTCCTATCTGAGTACTAACCAGCCCTGACCACGCTTAGTTTCCAATATTAGACAAGATCAGACATATTCAGAGAGGAATGGATATAAATGTGCTTGTCTCAATATGAATGGATGTCAGTAAAGGGTTGTAGGGAAAAGAATGGTGCAATCAGTGTGATTTAAAAAGACAATGCCACCAGATTTGTGGAACGGAGACAAGAGACAGGTGAGAAGGCAACCCAGGAAACCAATTGCACATGAGCTGCCGAGATCCAGTAAAAGATGGTAGGGCCTTGAACTACAAAGCTAGTGCTTAAAAGCAGAAAGTAACACACTGACAACTAGTTATTAATTATCTCACATTGAGAAAATTGTTATTTCGAATTGCCAAGTGTCTTGACCAGAATAAGAGCAGCCATGAGTGACAAAAGTAACACTCTAACCCAAGTCCTCATGGGTAAGTATCCGATGATCTCATCATACCACAGAAGGCATTTGATACGTCCAACTTCACAGCAGCTAAGAAGTTACCTGAGTTTCAGAGATACAGACAGTTTCAGGTAAATTCATACAAATGTGTGGGTTTCCTTAGAATGTTGAAGCATAGTAACCTTCTGGTGGTAATATGGCTTTGTTTTTAAATATTTTCTTCTTTCTTAACAACTAGATTGGCACATTGTTGACCTGCACTAAAGTAGTGGGAGAAAAACTTCTTAAACTATCCAAGACCTGTATTCTTAGTCTGTTTTCCATCACTTCCTTACAGGAAGTGCTTTCAAATGTAATTTAATATTTCTGTGATTTAATAATCACTGTTATCTTCAAGACCATAAAATATACAACAAATCTAGTCTGAGACATTACAGAAATTAATTAGCTGCCCTTCCTGAGGACTGTATTCCCTGAAAAGTAAAGCTTGTAAGTGCAAGTACATTAATTGCTGATATTATTGTCACAGGAGGAAATAGCCCAAGAATAGAATCCAGGTGTTGCTGGGTTAGCACTAAAGTAAGCCTGCGCTCCTGACTACAGCACTGTTAGTCCCTCAGCCATTTGGGCTTCAAAAGTTAAGCTGAAACAGTAAGGCAGGCGTTCTCTAAGCCTGCAAGAGTCTCCTTAATTCAAGCAAAGAGGAGGTCTTTGCCTTAATTAACTTCTTGGCTGTGGCTGGAAAAAAAGAAGAAGAATATGTCTGCCTTTCCCAGATGCTCATAGACTTCACAGGCCCACATCTGTCCCCAGCCGTAGGCTCCAGTCATGTATTCCAGATGGAAGCCTGTCTGCCAAGCATCCAGACACTGGAAAGATCTGGTAATAGTGTTTACTACTCAGAAATGCTGTGACCTTTGTTAAAATGAGCTAAATCTAGCACTGTCACGTAGCTTTTTTACAGATTTATTTTCTCTTAAGAAAACCTAAGAAAGAAAAGGATGCAGGGATTTCAAGGACATTATATATTAATGCAAAAGCCCACAGCTAAAATATAGATTTACAGCCTGTCATGGAGAAAATCCAGACTACACTCCAATTAACATCCAAAAGTACTAACATCCTATGCTTGTAAGTACAAGTACATTAATTGCTAAAAGAGAGAGAGAGAGAAGGCCCAGGTCTGCCTGTTCTGACTCCATTCTCACCCTCACAAGTATGTGCAATGTCAAGTCTTTATTTACCATATGTATTTAAGCATGTCTCCTTGGCCATGTGTATCTGCTAAGATCTCATTTTTCTTGAAATGATTGAATTTATACCCTTGTATTTCTCTCATGATTCTAGTAGACCTCCTAGAAAGGTCCGGAAGTAAGAAACTACTGCTTCCCTCAAGGGCCTCAGTAAATGAAAGGTCCCATCCCAAAGGTTTAAATGTTTGAGTAATGATGAGCATATGGGCATTTCTCACAGTAGAAAACCATCCCTCGGAAGATTCCCACTGATTCGTCAAGAGCTGATTCAAATGGCATCTCTTTAAAATCATCTTTTCAATATCCCAAAACAGATCATAGCTCCTTGTTCTTTCCTTCCACAGCATTTCATTCATTATATTACAATTATACTAATTCCTAGTTAATTTGCTTAGACAGATTTTTCAAGAGATTGTATTGTTAAAATGTAAAAACTAGAAAGTATTCATCTCTATATTACCAGCATCTACATGCAAACTATACAGTGCATAATAGTTTTCATTTATATTCTGCCTATATTAAAAATAATGACAGATCCAACCATATGATTAAATATTCAAGTTCAACTATCGAAGTATTCACAGGAAGCTATAGAATACAAGTGCTACACAGGGCCATTATGTCTTTCAGATCCGCAAGTATTTGAAGCTACTTTGTATGTTAACTAATCCTTCACTGTAACAATGCCAGAGGTAATTAACTTGTAACAAGAAAAGATTTGTGTGGATTCCTGGGTTGGAATTTCTGCTCCATGGTCAATTAACTCTGTTGCTATTAGCCCATATCAAGACAATACAGCATGACAGGACCATGTGGCAAAGCAACATTGTTTACTTCATGGCTGAAGTCGAAACAAAGTGGGGGGGGGGCGGGTGTTAAAGTCCCACAGTCCCCTTCAAATCACAACCCTAATAATCTGAAGATTTCATGCTGACTCTTTTTTTTTTTTTTTTTTTTTTATGTTTCAAGACAGGGTTTCTTTGTGTAGCCTCAGCTGTCCTGGAACTCATTCTGTAGACCAGGCTGACCTTGAACTCAAATATCCACCTGCCTCTGCTGTGAGTACTGGGACTAAAAGCATGTGCCACCACCAACTGGCAAGTCTTTCTCATGTGGATTTCTGGGGGGACACTTAGGATCCAAATTACCAAGGGCTGAAGACAGAACTTTCACTACTCTTCACGGGAAGATGGAAACAATTATGTGTGCAAATTGATCAGTCCTGCAGTTCCTACTGTGGGGTAAAAAAAGGGTTAGTCGCCGGGCAGTGGTGGCGCACGCCTTTAATCCCAGCACTCGGGAGGCAGAGCCAGGCGGATCTCTGTGAGTTCGAGGCCAGCCTGGGC